TCTCTCTCTCTCTCTCTCTCTCTCTCTCTTGTTTGCCTACCCTGTATATCTGTCTCTATCCTTTTTAAATATCTACGTGTGCGACGCGACGTACGTGTCGCGTCCACGTGTATGTATAAACGTATCTCTATATGTATATGTAAATATATATATATGTATATACATGTCTGGTGCCCGTTGGTTCCATCTCTCAAGAGTTGGAAATTCAAACTACCCGCCGACTGGCCGGCCCGTGCATCGATCTGTCGGACGAGCCCTCCGCGAGTATTATTCGTTTTATTTTTCATTCTTTTTACCTTTCCTCTCTTACTTTTATTTTTCTTTTTCTTCTCCCTGGAATACTAGGCTTGTTACCATGGGGCTGTTTCTCGCGTACCTACTGTCATCCCTTGAAAAAAAAAATGTAATTCTCTCCTCCCTCCCTCCTACCGTTCGTCGAAAAGAAAAATAATAAAATGATACGATATAATATATATATATGGTATATTAAGCGAAAAATAATTTTCATCGATCAAGTCTGTTAAAAAAGAATGAGAGAACGATTTTCTATGAGTTATTGTTCTCCGTTTACCGAGAAACGTTCTTCTACTTCTACTTCTTCTAGTTCTTCTTCTTCTTTTTCTTTACTTCGTGAGAGATGTTGCAGCGTTACTGAAAGGGCAACTGCTAGAGAGAGCACCGTGTGATTCAGTGGCAAGAGATGTATGTAAATAGGGCCGTAGAAATATCCCGGACGAACTACTCCGTGGATTTGCCGTTGAAAATGGTCCAAATGCCAGGGCACCCCTTCTCTTACTTACGCTTCATGAATAATGCAGTCTCGCACTTTGCGGTATGAAAAGTACGGACGAGATAAGTTTTTCCCTTCTTTCCTTTTTTTTTATCTTTCGTTCTTCCTCGTATCTATACGTCGGTGGCGAGAAAGAGTTCGGGAAAATCACCCTTTCTGTGTGGTTTTTTTGTTTTTGTTTTATTTGTTTTTCAAAGTACGTCAAAAGGTTCGCTGAGATTTCAACGCTTTTTCTCTTTCTCACGATGAAATATAACGGATGAGTCAATATTTTTACGATATAATCTTAGAAATGTACTCTTTGCAGTTTCTGGAATTGAATGGGGGGTATCCCGAAGATATGAACTCACGAGGAGGTCTTCACTGACCGAGACGAGCCAGTGTGTGTATCTTCCTTTTGGTTTTCCACATGAAACTACAAGTCCTGAAGCATATCGACAGTACAGATCGTGTTTCCATGGGACTCAAGATATATTTCTCATCCCATGAGACTAAGCAATCCGAATGACACGTCAAAAGCGAAAAAAGGGAAAGAATAAATGTCATTTCATGATTTCGCAGTTTTCACGATGATCATTTAATTATATACACGGGTGTAATAATTACGATGCTATAAAATGACGTTTATATACAGGTACCCATATATTAATATAATTAAAAATCTCTAACAATAAGGCCCAAGCAAATACAATTGAGATGAATCATTCTTATTTTATTCTGGAATAAATTATTAACTTGGATGCGGGTATATTCAAAAGTAATAAATTCGTTAAAAAAAAAAAAAAAAAAAAAAAATAGGTAAAAAGGTATATATAAAAGAATCTTTTTCTTGACGTTGTTGGTTTATTAAGATAAATCGAATTGAAATGGAATCCTTTTACGACATCGTACTCACGCGCGCGCGTACATTACGGAATAATATATTAATAAAAAGGAATCTGTAAATAACGTAGAGAAGAAGAAGAATAAGAATAAGAAGAAGAAGTAACGAGAATGGACGTAGTCGGAGCAAATACAATTCTACGCCGTATATCGATTCATTCGATGTTTATCTTTATATCGGTCTCTCTCGATTTTTCTACTACTTTCAAGATGGAACTCAATTTACGAGGTCAGAGTCTACCACGAAGGAGAAGAAACACAAAGAGAGCAGACGTACGTAGGTATCTATCTCTCATCCAGAAAGAAACGATATTAAATTCAGAGATTGGTTCTATATTGAATAGAAACACTGAAACCTAAGTCTCGGTTGCCAAGATCGATTCATCGAAAGGATATAGGTATCTCATAATTTGATGCTACTTACAATCTTCTCACTTTCTTTCTTGTATATATATAAATTTAAATATATCACGGATAATAATTATTAAATCATCATCATCATCATCTTTTTTGTAAATGTTACTAAAAATTGCATTAAACGTCATAAAATTAATTGAAATTTTTCGAACCATTAAATTCGACCTTTATGTCCCGATATTTTCGATCCCTTTGATTTAAGGACGGTAACAGGTTAAATTCCAGTAAGGTGCATCCGAGTCCCACATTATGCACCCCTTCCTAACATTCCCCTGTCACACTAACGTTGCGAAACTGTTCCGAGTAACCCTCCATCATCATAAGTACGCTCGTATCGATCTAATTCTATTTAATATCAGGGCTTACTGAAGAGAGGAGTCCTCGTGAGTGGGTTGTGTACCAAGCTTACTAGTTTTTTTTTCTTCTCTTTTTTTTGCTTTTTCTGGCACATAGTTTACGAAGGGAGGAAAGAGTGATCGTGCGGTCTCTCTAACCCAACGATACAAAACTTTTTACATTTCGCGAACTTTATCGCACAAACATTTACCAGGGAAACGGATTATTCTACCTACTGTTGAACTTTTCAAATCCCTCGGAACTCCGTTTAAACTGAAAACGATTAACACCGATTTTTAAACTAGTATATATATATATATACGATGCTTTAGTGCTTTTAATGTTTTATTATTTTATAAGAATTTTTTTAATCACAATCAAATTTAATCATATATATATATATTCGTCTACTTTTTTTTTTATATTTATTATTTTTTTTATATTTTTATATTTATTTTAAAAGAATAAATATATATAATATTAAATATTTAAGGAAAAAAAAAGAGAGAAAGAGAAAGACAAAGATTGTAACGGTTTCATTGTGTGTTCGCAGGAAAAACCATATAACTCTTAAAGGAATCTTGCGCGTGATTATTACGAAATAGTTAATGTTGGAGTTTAAAATGGCCTTTTCGTTTTTTCTTTTCTTTTCTTTTTTTTTTTTTTTCCTTTTGCATCTCGTCGATCGTTCGGTCGGTTCCTCCCCGTTATTTACACGCAACTTATTACACTCACGCACGTTATAATCTCGCATTGTTCCTTCGTCTAACACAAAAACAATATACAAAGATGATCGTAAGTATGCATACAAGCAAAGCGTGTGCGTTTCGCACGTCATTATAAAATGATAATGCACAGAGAGTGCACCGTTGTTGACCGCGCGGTCATAGATGCGTGAATTTCAGGACACGCGTGCTAAGAAATTCTTATTCTTTTTCCACGTTGAATTAAACGACAAATATTACTACCATGAATATTATTTTCTTCTTTTTGCATTATTTTTATTAATCCATCTTCGATGATAATAATAATAATAATAATCGAAAATCATTTTCCAATTATATTATCATTATACGACAATTTGTAATAAATCTTATATTAATTTCATTTCACAGATACAATCGAAACGTCAATGAATACAAAATTATATCCCCTCTTCATGAAAAAAAAGAAAAGAAAAAAAAAATAAAGGAAATAATAATAATAATAATAATAATAATAAAGTAATCAGAATAGTCAACTATCAAAGTATGGTAGTAGAGTGTCAGTGTTGAAAGGAAACATGAATGGACGGAAAATACGTAAGTTTAAATTGCAGAGAGTTCATGAACGAAGAAGGAGAATGGAATATGAGAATGAGAATGAGAATGAGATTGAGGATGAGGGTAAGGACGGGGGAAAGGAGGGGGAGGAAACGCGTGGGTTGGACGCTCGTTGGCAGTGAGTTGCCTACAATTTCGGGGGATATATCCTGACGATTCCACGAGCAGAATGGCAACAATCGTAAATCCGGGGGACGGTGGCTTCCAACCTCGAGGAAACGGAGACACGGCTCGGTTGTTTACTCCTACCATAAGCGTTATAACACTGTTGAAGTTTTACTCGTACATCTCTAGTGTGTATAGCAAAACGTTTTATCGTACTTCAGATTAAGTCCACCGAAAGATAGAGAGAGAGAGAGAGAGAGAGAGAGAGAGAGAGAGAGAATTTAAAAAGGAGCAAGGGAAAGGTAAATGTTGCCACACGTTGTTATAATACTAACCGTAAACTCGTTGGAAAATAAAGAAGAAAAAATACGTGATATAATACTAACCGTAAACTCGTTGGAAAAATAAATAAGAAGGGAAAAATATGTGATTCCAAATAAACTGGTAACGAGATTTTCTTGCTATGAGTAATAGGAAAAAAAAGATAACGCGATTTCGTATAAATTATGTTTTTA